AAATTTTGTTATTTTGTTTTGTTTGTTAATTTGTCATGTATTACAAAAAAAAATAAACAAATGTTTCGCCAAGTTACAAAAGTTTCGGGAGTTTAGGCAAGTTTCGCTTAGTTTCGGAAATTTTACCAGTTATGGATTTTGCACTGATGGCGAAACAAGTTTCACCAGGTTTCGGAAGTTTCGCCAAAAGTTTAGTTTCGGTTTCGTCCGAAACACTAATTACTACAAAAAATTGTCTCTTAGATACTAAATAAAATTTAAATATTAGTATTACAATAATGACAAAATACTTATATACTAATCAATCAGAATAATGAAAATTAATTTATCTAGTATAAAACATGAAACTTATAACTCAATCCTATCCTGACAACAAAACTAAAATTAAAAATTCTAACTAATACAAATTCTGACTAATATAAAATTCTAATATTTAATATCTTTCAAGAAAATGAATTTTTTTTACGATGTAATACTCAGTCATTTTATTAATTAATAAATTAAAAATACAAATTTAAGAAATAATTACTATTTTAAGTAATAGCTATTCCTTGTAATTATATTACAAATCTGTTTGAATCAACTTATTATTATCTTTTCCCTCCAATAAATTCACTAATTATATAATTAATGACTGTTATTATCAAAAAGGAAAGTCAGTGTTCATTTAAAAATCTGAAAATTTGTTACCATATTTATTCTCAAGTGTATTCAAAGTTTTCAAGTATGAGACTCTTTAGAAATAGGTTGATGATTCAAAAACTGACTAGTATTATATAAGTATTTATCTTTTTTTGTTATGCCTTCTGATTGTTTTTTTTCAATCATTAAGTTACATCTGGATTTTTAAACATTTCATATATTTTCTCAAAAAAAAATAGACATATTTTGACTGTTATTGTGATGATTAAATGTTTGCTTCTAATTAATTGATATATCATGAAAACTATTGAAAAGGAATTGCGAAACCTGATAATATTATAGTATTTATCATTATTATAAGAAGGAATAGCAAAGACTTCATCAAATAAATCAAAGAATTTAAAAAAGAGAGAAAGTTCATCAGCAAGATCTTTGGTATTGGAAATAATTTTATTCATTTTTGAAGAAAATGCATTGCAAGTCTAAAGTGTAAGGGTGTTTCATTTTCAACATGACATTCAATATAATACCATCTAGCATAAAGGTCAAGGTGGAATTGTTTCATACGTGTAAAAGTAGGAAGTTCATTGACAAAGTTTTTTATAATGAAGGTTTTAAGGCAAAAGAAGTTGATAATGCTGATGTATCCAATTAGAATAAGGACCAAATGAAGATCATAGATTATACAATTCAAATTCGCAAACTATTTAAATATTCAATTCATTTTGTATCACTTTCGCAAAATAATAAAATGTAAATAAAAATATTATAAAATAAAACAAACGTATTAATCCTAGCCCAAACCTTAAACTTAATCCTAAACCTAAACCTTACCCTAGCCTAACACCCTTTCCTAAACGAATTTTTTAACATTAAACTATGTGTCAGCGATTTTTAGGTTGCCGGGATTGTAGCTTGAGTATTGGTGTTTCATACGGATTCCGTCACTGTAAATGTAAATTATGTGGTGAAGCAGAAACCGGTAAAAAAAGCCCCACGAAAATGGACCACTTAACTCAAATCGTAATTCAAATCTGACGAAAAATTGAAATTTAGATAATTTGAAGCTCATCTAAATCTACACGAATTTAGGATATGACTTTCTGGTATTTTGGATGGTAATAATGAATGGATTTCACCTCATTAGCATCATTTCTGTTTAGATATCGTGAAGTTCGATTATTAATTTAACGCACATCGAATTCCTCAAATAATATAAGATGAAGTACGGTAGCTTAATAAATATTTATCAGTTCTTTATAGTTTCGAATCAATTTTTTTTTATTCTTGAAATTTAATAATCTTTTATTTCTCCACTTCCTCTAAGTATTCTCTCTATCTTGCTAATTTTAATAATACTCTCCATATTTAATTTTCTTCAAATCATTCTAAAGTAATTTATTTATTGTAATCCATTGTGCAATAAAAATGTATAAAGAATTAGTAAACGAAGACGTGTATAAAGAGCATAGTATTACATTGAATATAATCGATTTCGACCAATATCGTTAGGATGCCATATTGTTAGGAAATCTCGAGTTTTTTAGCACAGTTCGCCCTCCTTGCAAACATACCTCCCTTTTTCTAATTTTAACTTTTTTTTATGCGTAGTTTTAATTAATTAACATGTAGAACGCCGACGTTAGGCAACATTTGTTTAACTTATTTTTATTAAATAATTTAGCTTCATAATACTTCAAATTTTTTAATAAAAAAAAAAAACTTGTTTGTTTACAAATTTAAATTTCAACGACAAGAAATGAATACAACAATCACTTATCAAAGGGTAGTTAAACACCATACTAAAATAGAAAAAATTCTTTAAAGAAAAATAAATCCGTTATTCTAAAAAAAAAATTGTTTCAAAAACGATTTAAAAAAAGAATTCTGAGTAATAATAAAAAAAATTAATGTATGTCGATCATCTGATTTTAAAAAACATGGCTCAAAAAAAATATATAATCACGTTCATAAAAACTTATTAGGACGCACGAAGTAACAAAGATGAAATCATTGTATAATAAAAAGATTGGGCGTTATTTACGTATTTATTCCATTTAAATTCGCGGAATTGGCTAAACTAAATCATAATAATATTTACTGGATAGTGACGATCATATGGTCCGGACTTTTTTTGGACGGACCGGGCTCCGCAATGATGGTCCAAATAACCTGCTTGTCAAGTTTAGTTTTGTAAATATTTCGCCATTTTATTTTTAAAAAAGCCACAATGATGATATATTATAAATAACAAAGTCTAAACTCGAAAATTAATAAATACATGATCATATAATTCACCCAACGTAATTTCTAATATTCATTATGAATAAATATAATTTCTTGATAGTATTATCGTTATTGATATTGTATTTCATCTTGATCAAAGGACAATATGATAAACCAGTAAATAAAACATATACTATTTTAAATCATCTAGAAAAAGAAGAAGGTCTTAAAGCTTATAGATTGTTATTAAATAAAAATGGTGGATCATTAATCATAATGGTTAAATGGGTGAATTCAAGTTGTATTGAACCTAGGATAATCTTTCGAGTGTTAAAAAAAGAGGGTGGTGAAATTAAATCGGTAGAAATTCCAAATTATTATATACCAGATTTTAATTTTTGTTTGGCAAAGAATTTTGAGGGAGTGGATGAAATGATTGTAAAATGGTATGCTTTGCAGCCAAATCAACTTTTAATCACTTATTTAAATTCTAGCGAGATCAACGAGGCCACTTATTATGGTCTTTTGTTTTCTCTGACAGGAGATTATATAAAGTATGTACTTGACGTATATTAATCTTTCCTGGTGAATAATAAAAACACTAAACATAAGCGTGTGTATTTATATTTGTATATAGTACGATCATTTTATCAAAGGCGTATAGACAACATGAGAAATTATTGCCCAATGCAAAGGTGGTTGTAAATTTTCAACCGAGTGGAGGATTTTTGTTCGTCGATTACTTATCGAACACATATAATTTACACTGGATTCATTTTAGTGATCCGTAAGTTATTAAAAATTGGAATTACGGGAGTTATTCAATAATTCTTCTTTTGGCGTTCTGTTAACCTTTTTTTTTTTTTTTTTTTTTGTAGGGACGAAAATGGAACATGTAATGTCATGCAATCTGGAATGATAGAACAAACTGCAAGCATCAAGGATAAAATACCAATGCATTACGATGCATTTTCATTAATGTTGGAAGGAGGGTTTGGTATAATATTCTCAAATAGGTCAAAGCCATTAATAATGAACAAAGCTGATAATAGATTTGTTTCAAATGTTGAAAACCTACAATGGAAATACAAAATGATTTCAAATTTGAATGAATATATTACCGATCCCCCTTTACACGTTTATGTTACAATGATTAATAATGCAGGAAATAATGAAATTATTGGGCCATTTCTTATTTATCAAACTCCTTTACCAGATCTTAGAGTTGATTATATGGTTTGTGATGTTGCTTACGTTAGTGTAGGATACATTTGTATACTTGAATTAACTAGTAGCACTAATCAATCATATTGGTTTAAATTATCTTTCTTGTCTTATGGGTGAGTATCAATGTATTTGAATGAGGCTTCCCAATTTTTTTTTTTTTTTTTTTTTTTTTTTTTTTTTTTAAAAAAAAATCATTCTTTTTATAAATCATAGGTCGGTAAGTCATATTGATAAGATAGTAGCAGATTTAGAAATGCAAGGAGTACATAAAGTAGAATTCAAAGCGTTATGGTCAGGAGGATATATAGCAACGCTTAAGAAGTACAATACGTTTGATAATAATACTGAAAATCTAATAGGATATATATTAGATAATAATGGAATATATTCTTCGAAATGGGATTTTCCTGATGATTTAATTGTACCAAAATCGGCGCAAATGCAAATTTATAAAAATAATAGTTGTTCATTACTTTTACAAAATCAAAATAATTCATGGAGTATTCTGTAAGTATTAATTGGGAAGTGTAAGGCAGTGTTGGGAAATTGGACAATTTTGGACAGTCTTTGACAGTTTTTGACAGATTATGGACACATTTTCATATGTCTAAAACCTTGTCCAAAATATTTAAAATCAAAAAATGTGTCCAAACAAAACCCAGCACTGGTGTAAGGTATAAATTGATTAGTTGATTTGAACATTTTGTTAATATATATATATATATATTTGCGTTTTTAGGTCGATTAAGCTGCCTAAACTCGTGAAAGGTAAGTTTGTAGTTGAAAATATAACGCGTTTTATAAGCTTTCATTTAAGTTACATATATAATTTTAGATTACGGATACGATAATCCAAACATAATAGCAACTGATCCACCAAATAATGCAGTAATTCCATTACGAACACAAATTCTTAGAATATTTTTTAAGATTAGAGTCGAACTTTCGAGCAAATATATTTCAATATATAGATCAACAAATACCGAAGATATCTTTCGACAAAAAATGATTGCAAATGATAAATATGTTACATTAAGTGATGATGGCAGGACGTTAAATATACAGGTCTTGGAAAGTACTTTCAATACTCCTAATGCTGGATATTTTGTTAGACTCGAATATAATTCGATCAAAGATGCTGATAATAAAGAACCTTTATTTGGAATTAAAGCAAATATCTGGCGGTTAAATACAAGTATTTTTTTTTTTTTTTTTTTTTTTTTTTTTTTTTTTTTAAATAAATAAATATATGATTTGAAAATCTTTTAAAATTTATTATTTTATTTATTATTTCATTTCAGTCGATGAAAAACCAAACACGGACGTTTTAACTCGTAATGGTTTTTTCTATTAACGTTGCATTTTCTTCTAGATTCAATATTAACCTACTTTCATTATTTATAGCTTCAATAAAGGGAATGTTAAGATTAACTTCAAATGGAACAAAATATTTTGAATCTTTACCGTCAAATGGACGAGATGAATTTTTTCAAAATTTACTAAAATGTGCTTCAGATTCAGTGCCAGTTGATATTCATAGATTATCATTAACAAAGTGCTGTCAGTATGATGAAGCACCATCTAAAAAAGAGAAACAATTAATCATTGGCATAAGAATAGCTCAAACTAAAGATTTGAATTTACCAAGTACTTATCAAATTAAGAAAGATCTTGATATTATGATTAAAAGTCCTATTTCTTACATGAGACAATGCAATGGATCGGAACATATTGATGGAACTTTTGGTTTTGAACAAGGAGGTATATATATATATATATATATTTTTAAAAAAAAAAAAAAATTATTTACACTTTATCATCAAATGATAGGTGATTTCTTTGAGGAGAAGAAATATGAACTTGTTGGAGTTGGATCAACTTTTGGTCTAATATCTGTGGGTCTGTTGATGATAAAACTCAAAAGTCCTGAGGTAATAAACAAATATATGATTAAACAAGGAATTAAAATTTAAAAAAAAAATTTTTTCTTATTTAACATTCTAGGCCAATTTGTTTGCCTTAATAAGGACAGCTTTTTCTTTAGTTGATTTTGTTGTCGATTTTCTGTTTTTAATTAACAATGCTCCTAACGTACCTTCGCTTTATGTTCCGACGTAAGTTGATCTAATTTTAACATTTTTTTTTGCTTTAAATCTTATTAATAAAAATAATTACTTTTAGATTGATATTCTTTATATTACCGTTAATTATAAATATGTTAACGAGTATTAAATTGTTAATTAAAGAAATAACAACAAATCCTTCGTTTTATGAATGGGTTAAAGAATGTACTGGTATATTAGGGATATTCACTCTAATATCGTGTATGGAAATTGAAATATTAAATCTTCTTGTATCAAATATTGGTGGACTAAAGTATTTTAATGCTCCTTTAACTGATTATTCATTAAAAGTGATTTTTAGAATAAGTTCACTTTGTTTCTTTATTGAGGATATTCCTCAACTCGTAATCATGGTACGTTTTCATTTAATTTATGTTTTAAGTTATAAGAAATCAAATTTTTTTTTTTTTAATCTTCGACATATTTTTTGATTAGATGATTTATACGCAGAAAATTGTTAAATATGATATTATTCAAGTAGTTGCGGTTTTGTCAAGTGTTTTGGTTGTATTATTAGGTCTTATTACAAGAATTTATAAAGCTCTTTTGCATTTTAAGTTAGTAAAACAATTCTCTACATTCACAGAGAAGTTTGATGAAATGCAAACTTCGGAAAGCGATAAGCGATATGAACACATTTAGTAAAGACAACAATTTATATAGTTGACGTATCTTTTTTGTTTAAATAATTCTTTGAGAAATTGGGAAATTCATTCTTACAGAAGGTTTTTTTTGTTTCGAAAGTATTATTAAAAAAAATATTATTTATTCGGGGTGGGGTGTCATTGGGAGAACGACATTCAATTGTATATATTTTTTTATTGATCTACCAATGATAAATGAAAATTCACGTGATATATGAGCTAGAAGAGTTAGTTAAGTAATTATATTTAAAGCTATTGTTAATTGGTAAATATTTCAAAAAATAAAGTTGTTATTTTTATCACTTTATAAAGGTTTATTTTTTTTATTATCTATATTAATAAATAAATATACTGTATATAAGATAAAATAATTAGTCAATCTTCTCTATAGTCACTATGATTTAAGAGAGGGTTTTTTTTAATAAGTTTATTAGTAACGTAGGCCAATGTAAGTGTATTTATAAAGGAGGACGTAATTATATTTGGGATGACTATAGGGAGGGGTTGACTGTATATTAATCATCAACTTATATGAATTATTTTATCTTTATTATTAATTCTTTTTAGCATAAAAGTTATTAATATTATACATACTTTTATTAAAGTATTATAGTCAACCCTCTATAAAAGAAATTTTTAAAAAACTAAAAGTATTAAATCTAATTTAATTGATCTTTTTATAGTTATCAGAGTATATTAATAATGTCTTTTTTTGATGATCTAAATCTGATCATTTTTTTTTTAATTCTATTTCTTTAATTTTTAATATTAATATTATAAACATTTTGAATAGAAAAAAGCTAAAAAAAAAGAAAATAAGACAATGCAAATGTTATATAAATAGTAATATTTCACAGTATAAATAGTATAAATAAAGTATTTATAATTAATATTTTTATATTACTACCGTATGCCACTGTATGCAGTACCTAGGGTTTTAATCAAAAATGTGATTTTTTAAATTAAATAGTACTCACAGATCCCACAGACACTAAATGAAAAACTGGATACTATTTTAGGGGAATATAATATACAGGAAATACTGTATATAGAGGTTATAATTACACAACTTTAATAAATAAATATCAAAAAAAAATTAATTTTATTTTTCTTCTTCAATTTAGCTTCACAAATATTGAGGAAATCTTAATACTTTTTCTCATTTTATATAAAAATTATGAAAAATGTTCAAGTAATAGGAAAAGTTAATATTGAAAATATGATGCTATGCCTAGGTATTAATCAATTTTCACAAAGTTTAGCTTTGAAAAGTATCCGGATACTATTTTTGACTAGGTTAACATAGATAGTGAATAGTATTTAGGTATTAATCACAAGGGGTATTATTTTTGGGGATACTGTATGTAGTAACATATGGTATATATAGTTTATTTAATTTAATTATAAATAATATAATTTAGAATAATTTGTGTAATATTATTATTATATTTCTTTTAATGTTAAATTTTATTAAATGTAAAAATTTAATCTAAATTGGTAATTTTAAAAAAATTGATATTATTAATTTAATAAATTTTTTATATAATAATCTATATATTTGAGAACTATAATAAATATAAAATTATAACTCTAATATTCATATTTAGTGAATATAAACTTTTAAAGTTTAAAAACTAATTGTTGTATTTCTTTTATCAGCTACTGTATTTGTTAATCAAATATTATATAATATAATTATTACATCAAATTACTATATTAGAATAAATTTTATTAATAGTTAATTATTCTAATTATGTTTATAAATTTAATAATATAATTATTATTAATAATTATCATATAATATAAAGTACCAATATATTTTATTTTATAAAAATAGATCAATGAAAATATGAAAAAAATAATATATATTAATGAAAAATATATGTTATAATAGTATATCATAAAAATAAATTTAGTAAAAATTAAAAAAAATTATTATAATAAAAAAGTTAGAATTAACAATACTAAGATTTTTACAATTGTTAAATACTTTATTTCTCTATAAGATAAGTATAAGAATTATATGAGAAAGTAATTTTTAAAAAATAAATAGATTAATTACAAATTTTTAATAAGTTTAAATGTAAATATTTTAAATCTTTAATGGTTAAAATAAAAAAACCATCATTAAATCTCTTTCAAATATATTTAAATATTATAAAAAATAAACAAATCTATTTTTAAATAAGGATAAATCTAATTGTAATATTATGTTATACATTATTTATAACACCTATAATTTTATCCAATCAAAATTTAAGATCAAATATAATGTTAATAATTTAGTAAATCAAAATAAAAGATAATTTGCATAATAAAAATAAAAATTTTTTTAAAAAATTTTAAGAAACTATTTATAATTAAAAATTTTATCTATGAAACTATTTTTAATTTTTTAAATAAAAATTTTTTAAATTAAATTTTACATTTAAAAATTTTGTTTATAAAATATTTAAAATAATTTATTATTAAGAAAAATAAAAAAGGATATTACAAATAAAATATATAACAGAATATTACAAATACATTTTTACTTTAAATAAATTATTTATAATAAATTAGCTAAATTAAGTTTTTTACTTTCATATTTCTTATTTAGTTCATTAATTTTTGAAATTAATAAAATAATGTATTTACTTTAGACTTATATTTATAAAAAATTTGTTTATAAAAAATTTTAAAAAAATTTTTAATATTAATCTTATCCCTTTAAGTATTTTATAAGCAAATTTACCTGTAATTTTATTTAATAATTAAAATTATTTATAATATTTTTAAATATTTTTAAAATAATTTATTTAAAAATTAATATTTTTATAATAAATTTTATAATATTTTCTAAGTAAAAATTCAAAAAAAAATGTAATTAATTAGTAATATTTTAAAGATAAATATATGATAAATTATTATAAAAAAAATTAAAATTTTAAACTTATATATCTTGCTATCTGTTGATCTCAAAAATATGAAAATATAATCATTTAATAGGTCTTAATGAAATAAATCTAATAAACTAAATTTTATTTTTTTGTAATTATTTTTTTTTTTTTAAAGACGCGGTGATGCAACATTTTATTATATATGAAAAACAATTTCAGTATAAAATACATGAAAATCTCAAGACAGGTACAAAAGTAGAAAAATAAAAATTGCTGCCTAATTTTCATAACTAAAAAACTAGCTCCCACTAGACCAACCAGTTGTCCTATCTGATTCTAATTATAAAGATTTACTGAATAATTATCAATACCAAACTAATAAAAAAAGATTGTTAGAATAACTGGTTATCACCTGTCCAAGAAGAGGGACCAATGTCAACCATGTTTATAAGAGTTATTAATTAAAGTAATATGATCTAGGGTATCTGTATTGTTGGTAAATAAAGTGTTAGAGAAACTATTAATAGAAAATATAATATTGGATGTAGCAAAATTGCTTTTCTTCTGTCATTTTATTATATGTAAAGATCTTTCTTTGTCTAAAGTTAAAGCATATCTAGTTTTTCATATATTATTATAGGCTTGGGTAAAAACAAAATTGAAAAAAAGAGGAAAGGATAGATGAAGTAGTAGAGAAAGATTTGGTGAATGTTGTTAAAGTTGATGATAAAATAGTAGGGACAATGCCTTTTATAAGGTTAATAAAGGAGAAGTCATATAGATTTGCTCATAGTAATCAGATTGAATGTGAGGGGTTTAAAAGATTATTGATATTGTCTGCAAACATAGATTTGAAAGTATAAATGAATAATTGTAATTTTAGATGAGCTATAGATTCAGAGATCAGGGATTGCATATTTTGTCTGATAGTAGGACAAAGTCAGATATGGTTGAAGTCTTCGTTGTGGCTATTATAATAACAGCATTTCCAAAAAGGTAAATATAACTGAGATTGAGTGGCTTTCATAAATTGAACTATCAGGAGCTATTCTAAAAGAAATTTAAGTTTTCTATTATGGCTTCTTGTTTCAGTAAATTTGTGATAGATACTGATCCAAATTGAATGAAGTGAAAGGTTAAAATCCAGTTCACTTGTAAGTGTTGATACTTAGTGTTTCGTTTGAGGTGATAATAATCAGAAAATGTTTGATATTGGTATAATCTTTTAAAAATGCACATAAAAGGCAATGTATAGGCATATTGTTAAATGTAGGTATGTAGTTAATAAAAGGAATATAGTTTAAAGATAAAGTTAAGGGAGGAGAGAGGAGAAAAGATTTTGCTAAATGGTCAGCTTTGTTATTAAATGGATTATTAGAATGTGCAGCAACTTTGAAAAGAGAAATGGTGATTTGTCATTTCTCAATGACTTTAAAAATTATTGATCAAAAAATGTAAAAGGGAACTTTGAACATGAGTAAAGAATATTGCATTTGATTTAATTATATAATTGTAAGTATGAATAAGAGCTAAACTATCAGTATAAACAGAAATTGAGAAAGACGAAGGGTCAATTAAAAGAACTAAAAGGAAAGCGAATATTTCAGCATTAGTAGAGTTAGTCCAGATAGCAAGGACAGCAGCTGAGAATGCTATATCTAAGGAGTCATATACTAAACAAAATGCAGAACTTAAAAATGATATAAGGGTGAAGAAATAAATTTGTGAGAACCATCTGTGTAAAATGTAAGAGATTGTTCATTTTAAAGAGCATGATAAAAATCCAATAAGGGTAAGCTAACACTATTATTTGGTAATATATTAAAATGGTAATGAATAGAGAAGAACTGAGAATGAGATTGTTTGATGTAAGTATAGGTAGACATATTGTCATATAATGTTATTTTTCCTGATCAATAACAGACCAAATGTTACATTTAAGAAGATACAATTTGTTATTATTTACAGAGGAGAAGTAAGTGACATCTATAACTTGTAAAAGATCAGCATTGATTATGTTACCATAAGGCCAAGTAGTAACAGATGCGTTAAAATTAAATATTGGTGCCAATGAATTAAAAGAGAATTCTGAACATAGGGTAAATAGATTTTGTTTTTT